TTTCCCTAACTGAGAAACAAGCTTGGATCAGGCATGTACATTGGCATGAGCTATAGAACCCTATTAGAAGGGTCCAGATGTACGTCACATCTCACCATGCGTTTTAACCAATTGAGAAACCCATGACTTCATGATGGCTTCAATGTACAAGATAAAGCGATCATGTGTGTATGTTATTTGGGAATAACTTGGGTCATAACATAGAAAAAGTTAGAACACCAAATCTTAAATGTAGCTGTTTTAAAAACCCTTATGCCTTGTGCACAAATACTTCTCTTTGCATGATGTAAAGTTCATTTGAGGATACAGATCAGGTTTCAGGTCACCTGCCAGCTCTTACCGCTATGCTCATCTATCTTTTTTCCTTTGTTGTGTTTCCCAAGTTGTAATTTTATACTCATAATGTATCACATTTTAGCAACTAACAGACTTTTTAAAGAGGCAACATAAATCTGTTTCTGATGAAATGCATTCAAAAAATTGCTCTAGCACCTCTACTACTTTTACTGCTTTTTAATACTACACATTTTTTAGATGAAATTATCAAATAAGAAGCTTATTAGAATCTATTAAAGGACATAAGTAAGGAAAGTGACATATTTTCTATGAGTACACGGCTTATATCTGTGTCATCCTGAATCAGTCAGTCAGGCCTATTGATAATACAGTGTGAAACAAAATGGCAGCTGGTGCCATGTTATGAACTCTTCCCAACACTATTTCACGATAATTTTGGGAACATTAAAACCTTGCTCTCATACTACAGATTTTTATGATGATTTTGTAGAACAATAAAACGGCTATTTAAATTTGTAGCATTCTAAATTTCTTAAAAATCTTTAAAAAAGCACACCAAAAGCATGTTAAGAATATTACTCAAAGGAATAAACATGTTTAAATGGTTAAAGGATATACATTAAACAGCAACATAAATGTTGCACATGTATGTCTCCAGCTTTTGTAAAATAATGACTAGATGCATTATTCCAAAAATATTATAGAGAGATAGGAGCAGGACCTTGAATAAAATTTCGGACTCACAGCCCTTTTCCTCATATAACATACGTGCTGGGGTCTGCAGCAGCATGAAAACACATCAAACCCATATTTAAGTGTCTTACACGACATTTTTTCATTCAAGGCAAACATTGTATTACAGAAAGCACAGATAAGGGGCCAGGACAAAAACACATTACTGTATAAAGATGCTATTTTTCTATAGCTTTCTTTTTAGAGCTACAGCAGTGAGGACAGGAGTATGAAGCTGCAGTGGGCAGGGGATCTGCAAAGACAGACAATATTTGCACATGGTCATTAGCAAACACCAATAATGAATTAGGGGGGTTGGGGGGGTGAACGAGGGGTGGTTTTGTGCTTGATCAGCAACTACTATTACATCAACATATCAGACATAATATGTGGCATATAAAAACACAAAACTCTTTTAATGGACTTATTCAAAGGGATAAAAGCTAACTATAAAAATATCCGTAAACCATGAGGGAGGATTTTATGTCCTCCAGAAGCAGAAGCAGTGTCTAGGAGGTGGTCTTGCTTAAACCCTGCACGTGTCTAAACAACTTCTCTATTACACCCGAGACCTTTGAGGGCACTTCCCATCGAGCAGGGAACAAAGGCCATGACCCTGGGTCAAAAGCGTTACATGGGAGGTCAAGCAGGCCCATTGAGTGTCCCATTGCTGTTTGCTTTAAGAACATAAAGATTACTAACACATTAACTAATACCGATTAGGGGGTTATCCCTCATGGGACTGAGGTCTCAGGGCAGCACACCAAGTCTTATTAACACAGTGTGACCTTTGACCCCACCAGACACCTTAGACATCCATCTGTGACCACCACTTTTTCCTCTGTTTGATACACACACAGACAAGAAAGGAAGAGTCTCTCTCAGCAAAGTGCAGCACAGCTTGAAAAAAATAACTGTTGCCTGGAAAAATATAAATAAAAGATAGAGCACTGTCGCACTCCTGTACAAGGATGAGGGACATTTTTCTGTGCATCTCAAAATAATGTGAACAATATTTCCAAAAAAGTATTACGTCCTTATAAAACAAGATTGAGTGCAGTCAATTGTTTTATTGCCTGCAACTTCAAAGCACATGTTCTATCAAAGTTCATAAAATGGGGGCATGTGCAATGAAGTTCTCATCACAAAATGGAGGCCACTAGACATGCGCAGTATTGATGTTCCAGATTTATCATATGATGATGATGTCTCAGATAATCATATGACGAAAGGCACAAAGTCCTTCTACCATGCTATTCAAACATGACTTTTGCATCAGCAGAGAGATACAAAGTAAAATGTTGTGATTTGTTTACTTAACCCTATGTGTCCAGACAGCAAAGCACCTCAGAATGAAACCTTATGATCACCATCTTCCAAATTACTGCTCGTGATCAGATCATTGGCAGTGCTCTCTCCTAAAATAAAATATCATGTCAATTTTAGTTTAATATAAACAGAATATTAAGATTGCTGTGGCATTTGTGTTTCTGCACAAAATATAAACATAAAAAAAGTTCCCACAAGTTGTCTTG